TTGCAGTTTGATTTCATTGGTGTGTGTGTATATTATGTTTGGTTACAGAGAAAATTCTCCTTGTATTAAAAAACAACAACAACTAAACAAGCTTCACCTTCGATTTTCTCAAAACAGCATTTTTCGGGATAGCCCCCTTGTGCTTAAAAGCGACAAAGTGAAATTCTGATGTCGGTGGGTGGCTATGTGTTACTGGATGATCTTGCTTTGGCAACGTTATAAGCAGACCAAATTCTACCATTAAAGAAGTTAGAACATTATTAGGTAGAATCTAGTATAACGTAAGCGTTTAACAAATAAGTCTGTTTTTCAATAACTTGATACAATAACAGATTTCTAAAATATTTCCACAGCAGTAAAACCAGAAAAAACGAACGAATGCAATTATATTATTGTATCCAAAACAAATGGGTGACATAAAAAGATCAAGGAAACGTAGCTTTTTTTTAGAGCGTCCGAGCAAAGGAGAACCATGATCGCCGTTGTCTGTCGTAGATCTGGCATTGGATGATGATGATCCAAAACAGGAACAGGTAAATCGATAAAAGGCAAAAAAAAAAGGAAGTGATGACTGAAGCTATGAGCAAAGAAAATGAAAAAATATAAGAAACACATTTATTTTTCGGTTGTTGTTGTTTTTTTTCCTAGCTTTTGCTATGTCTTTCTAGACTTTTGTTAGAGGTTTTTTTTCATCAGAGAACTCGTCTTTTCCCTCTCAGTTTTCACGGGCTTGGGACCGACACAGAGTACACAGTACACTGAGGCCTGATTAAAAAGACGGCACTACCGGGCGCTCACGTCTGGGGGAGGTAGTGTAAGTTAACTAGTGGTTAGTTCGTTTGTCTGTAAGTTAAATTTGTTGGTTACCTAGTTGGTTTGTTAGTTTAATAAGATTGTTAGTTAGTGTTTAGTGTTGGTTAGTTAAAGCTTAATTTTGGTGTATCAGCGATTAGTAAGTGTTACCTAATTGTTGGTATTGAATAGCTAGTAGTAGGCGGAAATTTGTTAGTGGTTGGTGGAGTCAGCTAGTGTTTTACGGTTAGTGTTGGGTAGTTCAAGTGTAATGGTGGTTACGCAGTGGAATGGCTCATGTTTTGAAATGCTTCGTTGGTCTTCCATTGTTACTTGTAGAAATACTATGTTAGTGTTTTATAATCATTGTTGGTTAGTTAAGACATTAAAATTAGAGTTGAATACTCGGTGTTCTTTTCTAAGCCTTGTTGAGTCTGTTTTTGACTGATTAGATTTAGTATTTAATTTGTAAGTTTGTAGAGTACAATTAGTTAATATTGAATACTTAGCTTCTAGTGTTAGTTGATAAGTATTTTAAAAATTCGGTAGTGTTCTTGGTTAATCTTTTAAAGTGATTGTTATTGATGTTAAACTCCAAGAAGATACAGAAATCTCCTTAAAAAGACGTCAGTAAGATTTTAGGAGGTTTAGAGTTGGATCGTGCTAAAACGGTTGAAAGGAAAGAAATATTAGTATTGAATTAGTTCATTAAAAAAGAAAAAGGTTGTAACTACCAAAGGTTCGTGTTTCTCACAAACCCTCCATAATTCCCCTGAGATATAGTAACCCAAATTAGAGACGTAAAATACTATCAGACTCTAATCCAAGCATTATTGTTAGAGTCAAAGAGAACAGAAAGAAACCAAGAATGATGCAACTAGAGAAACAAACACAAATTGAAAAGGAAAAAATTTAAGAATTGTGAGGCAGCGTGGTGGAATCAGGCTCTCGTCAATTTTTTGGCATGTAGAGTTATTGGTATCATCCTGTAGCTTGTTCACTTGTCTTTATTTGGAGGAAAAAAATATCCATTTATCTTGAATACAAGTCGATATATTCGCGAATGAAGGTGGTGGGGTCACCTGTTTTCAGAGGTAAAATTAGTGAGAAACAGGCCGCCAAAGATAAGTTATTTCCTTAGCTTAAGAGTCGGTGGTAACAGAAAATTTACATTTTTTGTGCTTTTAATCAACGTGTTTCAGTAAAATCCACACAGAAATGGGTTCTTTAATGGGCATGAAAGGTGTCGAGCGAAAAAAACAAAAATTTGATAAAAATTCACTAACCTGTGGAAAAATGCAAGTTTCTTCACTTTGATAATTTTGACGAGAGCCTGATTCCACCATGCTGCCTCACAATTGATGTGATGTTCATGATTTCTTGATGTTTTAACACAGATATTGAACGTTTGTAAAAGTAACGACATGATAGGCAGAAACTGCAGTCCATGTGCCATTTAAGGCACAGTTTTAACATAGTCAAATAGATTACGTGTGGCTATATACGGGGAAGAGGACGATCCTCATATCTTAAGCCACGCCTCTTATTCACCCATTGCAAGATCCCAAAACGAGCCACTGAGTTGAGAGAGTTGTGATTGGCCATTGTTGGATTTCCCGGATTCCATACTGTAACAGTGGGCTCTCGTGGCCTAGAGGTTAAGGTGTTGGCCTCTCATTCAAAGGTCCCGGGTTCGATTCCGG